TGCCATCGCCGCAGTCGTCGTCGCCATCACACACGAACACGGCGGCCAGACACGACCGATTGCCGCACTGGAACTCGTGCGGGGCGCACACTGCGCGGGACAGAGAGCCGGTCGGCCCGCCAGGCCCATCCCCGGCCGACCCGGCCCGCTGGCCCTGCTGCAGGGGCTCGGACCCTCGCCTAGCTCCCGCTGCTGGGAGGAACTGTGGGCCTGAGGTCAGGCACAGCCAAGGTGGGGTGGGTGGGTCCTATCTGGGCCCTGCCGTGGACACTCAGGCCAGGTGACCTTGGGCATGAGAGTAGAATTCCTGCCCCACTGCTGGCAGCTCGATGGGACTGGAAGGGGGCTCTCCAGCCTGGGACCCTATGATGTCCCAGGACATGATCTGGGCCTTTCCAGGGAACAGGGCCTGGGGCCGTCTCCTTACACCAAAGCTATGGATAGCATAAGCTGCAGGATTCAGTCAAAGCCCACCCCCACACTCCCCGCCCTGTCCCATAATGTCACCTCTGAACATCCCCAGCTGGAGCCACGCCAGACCATCCGCTGGGCCCAGGGCCCACATTGCCAGCTCTAGGCATTGGCTGGAGCTGCTTGGTCTGTGCAGAACCTACCTCCTGCCCACCACTGTCTGCACACTTTGTAAGATGCCTTCTCATCCTTCAAGGACCCAAACCCCACCTCCTTCACAACGCGCTTGGGAAAGCTCCCTCTGCCTGTCCTGTGCATCCCCTCAGAGTCTGCTCAGTCGTCTGAGCTTCGAGTCTTCTGTCGGCCCCATGATCACAAACGGCCTCAGGATCACCCTCCTTTGTCCTGAGGGCCTGCAGAGGGTGGGTGTGCAGTAGATGGGACCAGGCCTGGGTGTGCGGAGTACCTAAGGCATCCACAGTAATTAAGGGCATAGTTCATGGCCCTGAGGTTCACCTCCTGCCCCTGAGCTTCCCCTTCTGTTGGGCTGGTCTGAGCACAGGGCAAAGGAGCACCTTCTAGACCAGCCAGCCTCACTGCCAGCTTATAGATGGGGAAACTGAGGAGCAGTCAGCCTCTGGTGAGACAAGAACCAGAACTCGGGTCCGAGGCATTTCCCACCTATGCTGACTCCTCCTCTCAGCTTTTGTGGTTTTTCCTCTCTCTTCCTAGAGTGTAAGCTGTGTTCAGAGCAGCAGCTTCCTGGCCACCTTCCCGCTCTCAGACTCAGGCCAAGAACAGGTCTGGGTCAGGGCATGGATGCAGTGGCTGTAGCCACAGATAATGTGGCAGCACCAGATCTATCCACTAGGGGGCGCCCAGAGTCCGTTTTTATGTTCTGATGTTTTAAAATGTCAATTTTCATTGTTTTTGAACATGAAATTGTGATGTCTTCAGTTTCACAATGTAGGCAGCTCCTGGCATGTGTTCTGACAGCTCTACCACATTTCTGACAGTTGCAGGTTTTTTTCCCCTTCTGGGCTTCTGGGATGTTGGGGCATTAGTGGGAAAAGCACATGCTCCTTGGTACCAGTTCCCCCAGATTATGCTGATGCCCAGATTAGCTCCCCTCCTGGCAGGAGGGCTCCCTGCCTCCTGAGCATCTGCATAGGAAATGCTTCTTAATACTGAGGTTTGAGGCTGACAGTCACTTTAAGAGCCATCATTTTAGGCCTACTGAGGCTCAGAGACTCACGTCTGGCACGCACTAATGGAAAACGCTCTGAGAGATGAGAGAAGGGAAGGTTCTTTTTCCTCTGCCCAGGTGGCTTGGCGCTCTGGTAGAGAAGCCCAGGAAGACCTTCTAACACCCCTGCCCCCTACAATTAATGGGGGCTGCTCTGGCCCCAGCATGCTCTACTTAGAGAGACTCAGACTCTCTGCAGGAGTGGTTGATACGAACACGGCGGCCAGACACGACCGATTGCCGCACTGGAACTCGTGCGGGGCGCACACTGCGCGGGACAGAGAGCCGGTCGGCCCGCCAGGCCCATCCCCGGCCGACCCGGCCCGCTGGCCCTGCTGCAGGGGCTCGGACCCTCGCCTAGCTCCCGCTGCTGGGAGGAACTGTGGGCCTGAGGTCAGGCACAGCCAAGGTGGGGTGGGTGGGTCCTATCTGGGCCCTGCCGTGGACACTCAGGCCAGGTGACCTTGGGCATGAGAGTAGAATTCCTGCCCCACTGCTGGCAGCTCGATGGGACTGGAAGGGGGCTCTCCAGCCTGGGACCCTATGATGTCCCAGGACATGATCTGGGCCTTTCCAGGGAACAGGGCCTGGGGCCGTCTCCTTACACCAAAGCTATGGATAGCATAAGCTGCAGGATTCAGTCAAAGCCCACCCCCACACTCCCCGCCCTGTCCCATAATGTCACCTCTGAACATCCCCAGCTGGAGCCACGCCAGACCATCCGCTGGGCCCAGGGCCCACATTGCCAGCTCTAGGCATTGGCTGGAGCTGCTTGGTCTGTGCAGAACCTACCTCCTGCCCACCACTGTCTGCACACTTTGTAAGATGCCTTCTCATCCTTCAAGGACCCAAACCCCACCTCCTTCACAACGCGCTTGGGAAAGCTCCCTCTGCCTGTCCTGTGCATCCCCTCAGAGTCTGCTCAGTCGTCTGAGCTTCGAGTCTTCTGTCGGCCCCATGATCACAAACGGCCTCAGGATCACCCTCCTTTGTCCTGAGGGCCTGCAGAGGGTGGGTGTGCAGTAGATGGGACCAGGCCTGGGTGTGCGGAGTACCTAAGGCATCCACAGTAATTAAGGGCATAGTTCATGGCCCTGAGGTTCACCTCCTGCCCCTGAGCTTCCCCTTCTGTTGGGCTGGTCTGAGCACAGGGCAAAGGAGCACCTTCTAGACCAGCCAGCCTCACTGCCAGCTTATAGATGGGGAAACTGAGGAGCAGTCAGCCTCTGGTGAGACAAGAACCAGAACTCGGGTCCGAGGCATTTCCCACCTATGCTGACTCCTCCTCTCAGCTTTTGTGGTTTTTCCTCTCTCTTCCTAGAGTGTAAGCTGTGTTCAGAGCAGCAGCATAATGTGGCAGCACCAGATCTATCCACTAGGGGGCGCCCAGAGTCCGTTTTTATGTTCTGATGTTTTAAAATGTCAATTTTCATTGTTTTTGAACATGAAATTGTGATGTCTTCAGTTTCACAATGTAGGCAGCTCCTGGCATGTGTTCTGACAGCTCTACCACATTTCTGACAGTTGCAGGTTTTTTTCCCCTTCTGGGCTTCTGGGATGTTGGGGCATTAGTGGGAAAAGCACATGCTCCTTGGTACCAGTTCCCCCAGATTATGCTGATGCCCAGATTAGCTCCCCTCCTGGCAGGAGGGCTCCCTGCCTCCTGAGCATCTGCATAGGAAATGCTTCTTAATACTGAGGTTTGAGGCTGACAGTCACTTTAAGAGCCATCATTTTAGGCCTACTGAGGCTCAGAGACTCACGTCTGGCACGCACTAATGGAAAACGCTCTGAGAGATGAGAGAAGGGAAGGTTCTTTTTCCTCTGCCCAGGTGGCTTGGCGCTCTGGTAGAGAAGCCCAGGAAGACCTTCTAACACCCCTGCCCCCTACAATTAATGGGGGCTGCTCTGGCCCCAGCATGCTCTACTTAGAGAGACTCAGACTCTCTGCAGGAGTGGTTGATAGCATTTATATCGGAAGAAGCATCTGATTATTGTGGGGGGACCCGAGGGGATGGGGCTAGGGAATTGTCATTGGCCAATGAGTCCCTGCAAAATTATCACAGTGGAAGAAATGAGCCACTGCCATCACTGAGGCTTTGCAACTGCAGATCCCAGCCAGGATCTCCCCCAAGCCCAGATGCTTCCTGCTTCAGACACATCAAAACTCCAGACTTAGAATCTCTAAGTGCTGTGACTCAGAAGCCTCTGGAAGAGATGGCATTTCCCCCAGGCCAGGAAAGATGGGTAGGATGCAAATATAGTGGCTGGGGCAGGGGAGTGGGAGTGAGTGCCTGGCAAAAGCCCTCCTGCGTGGCTGCCTGCATCTCAGCCCAGCCTCACAGCCTAGCAGCAACGACCAGTCTGTCTCCTCCACCGACCACGTGCTCCCAGAGGGAGGACTGTGCAGGATTCACCTCCTTGTCGCTTCCGGAGCCTGGCTCCAGGCCTGACACACAGTAGGTGCCCATCGAACTGAAATAAGTCAAGCCCTGCCAGGCTCCCCACTGGCTCAGGCCCTGCTGGCCTGCTCCCTGGAAAGGAGATAATCCTGTGCTTGAAGCTCAGCGATGTGTAACTGGCCCAGTGACCACTTCCATCTGTCCCCGCTGAGGCTGCTGGGAATTTCTTTCCCATCCTGTGACATTTGTGCTCCAATATGAGATTTCAGCAACAGTCGTCCTTCACACCTCAGGAATCTGTCCCCCTCCTTCGGACACTGCTGGCACCCTGGCTCAGGCCACCTTCTTTTTCCAACACAGTGCCCAGTCCCCCTGCCCTTGCTTGGAGATTGTCGACTTGTGGAATGGATGAGCAGATGTCAGGCATGGTAAAGAGTTCATGGGCTCTGCTGTCCAGACCTGAATCGGAATCTCGGTTCCACTGCTCAGCCTTGGGTGCTTTTCCTCCCTTGTCTGAGCCTCAGTTTCTTTACCCATAAAATGGGGATGATAATGGCTACTTATGAGGTGGTCGTGAGGATGAAAAAAGAAAATGTCTCCAAAGTGCCTGGCCATGACTAGTGCCCTGATCAGCATCCTTTCCTCCACCTTCCAAGCCCCCAAGGAGAACCAGGATCCTCCCCAAAAGTGACTGCTGACCCCCAAGGTTGCCTGACTAGGTATGGCAGACCCTGGATCGGACCCAGACTCACAGGTAGCACAGCCAGCCTCGTCCGCTCCACCCTCGCAGTCCTTCTCCCCGTCACAGCGCCAAGATGCAGGCACACACTTGTGGCCTGCGGGTCCACAGCTCAGCTTCTCTGCAGGGCACACCTGCTTGGCTGTGGAGACAGACATCCATGCAGGGCTTAGCCAAAGGGGACACAGGGCACGGCGCCAACCAGTCCTACCACCTGGTTCCAGCCACCTGTCGCAAGGCTCTGGGAGGCCGTCAGGGTCCTCTTGTCCCGTATCTCATTTCTTCATCTGAGAAGCCCCTGTCTGCATCCTAGGGCTTCCCAAATCCTCAATCTGGCTCCACCACTGCCCTAGCACTCTTTCAAAGCCCCCTGGTCTCTGGCACTTAGGTCCTCCTTGCCCACCTCTCCTGTGTGCCCCTGCCACCCCATCAAACCTCCCCGTTAAAGCTGCAGGGTCACACAGGAGGGTCCACATGGAGCCACTCTTCGCTGTCATTTCCCAGCTGTGTGCTGTGGGTGAGATATGTGCCAACGGGGCCTCAGTTTGCCTCTCAGATCAGCAACGCCATCATCTGAACCTGCAGATCTGGAGGGCTTTTCTAGGCACTAACAGCTGCACACCGCCCCCACCCCCACCCCCAGTGACGGTCTGAGCCTTGCTGAGAGCGGCCACCGTGTGGAAGATCCAGCGGGACTGCAACAGCTATAATTACTGCAGCGCAATCAGAGGCTGACTCAATCAGGGGCCTGAAGCCCCAGGGCTGATTCTCAATTTGGAAGAAAGAATGAGAACCCTGTTTAAGGCTGGGGGCAGCTCTTATCCTGAACCTGCATGACAGGCCAGAGGAAACAGATACATCGCAGACCTCCACGCCTGGCTCCCTACTTCCTTCCAGGGTGTACAAGAGGCCTGATCGCAGTGGTCTTAGATGTGCCAGGCAAGGTGCTAGAAGGTTCCATTTAATCTTCACAATAACCCGCATGTGAAGATTATGTTCTGGCCTCCAATATGGAGGCTGGATTCGAATTCTAGCTTCCATACTCACTGTCTATATGACCTTGGCCAACAATTCTTATTTCTGTGTCAAGAAAGTGGGAATATGGGGCCAGCAGGTGGCGTGGTGGTTAAGGCGCTGGAATTCCCACGCGGACGACTGTGGTTCAAGCCCTGGACCTGGCAGCTTGCTCTCTCTCTCTCTGGCAACTCATGTGAAAAAAAAATAATAAAGTGGGAGTACTACTATTAATATTGCCTGTCTCATAGGACCGTCAGGCTGTAAAGCACCTAGAACACCCAGCTCAGTGCTCACTAGATGCTACCTGTCGTTATTTCCCATGTATTATCAGATGAGGACTCTAAATTTTTTTTTTCTTTTTATGGAGAGGTTTTTGCTATAGGCCACGTGCGCTCACCAGAAAGACAGAGAGAGACAGAGAGACAGAAAGCGAGAAATCACCCCCCAGGGGGATGCCACGCCACAATCCTTTCTCTTCCATTCTCCTCTCAGGGTCTTGGGCATGTACGCATATGCACCCGGCGTGAATTTAAGCCACCGGGTCCGGGACTCCCCGCGGTCGACTACATGGGAGTCCAGTGACACAGCTATTACGCTAACTGCTGGTCCCAAGGACTCTGAAATTTTTAAAAAATGTTTTAAGAGTTTTTTGCCTTAGGGCATGGGCAGTCACTGAGTACTTGTTGAGCACTGCTATTATGGGACGGTGATAAGCACAGAGTTCTAGTCCCACAGCTGGCCGAAAGCATGGTGTGAGGATGCAGCGTCTGATCCCAGGGACAGGCATAGTTCATCTCCCCTGGAAGCCAGTGGCCTCCTCATGCCTCACCCTCAGTGTTGTTTCTAGTACCAGCACACTGTCCTCTCCTTTCACTTCCATCAGTCAGACAAGAGGCCACAAGGAAAGGGCACAGATAAGTGCGGGTGGGGAGGGTGGTCGGAGTCGAGGTCCCCGGACACTACTGTGCTAGGGGAGAAGAGTACCTTAGACACCCATGTGTGGACCCCAGAGTGACCCACAGGAATATACTTCATGACAGGTAAAGCAATCCATTGGGAATAGAGGATTCATTTTGCAGAAATTTTCCTTTACAAATAACTGTTGGGTAGAGCTCTGGAAAACACTGACCTCAAAGACCTTTTAAAGAGGTGTACACCAGGGGCCAGCAGTTAGCGTGATGGCTATGTTGCTGGACTCCCACATAGTCGACCACGGTTCAAGTCCCGGACCCTGGCTTTCTGTCTCTCTGTCTCTCTCTGTCTGTTTGGCAAGTGCACACGCCCTATAGCAAAAACCTCTTAAAAAAAACAAAAAAAGAGGTGTACACCAGGAGCCAGAGGGTGGTTTGGTGGTTAGGGGCTGGACTCCCACATGGATGACCATGGTTTGAGTCCTGGACCTGGAGACTTGCTTGCTTTTTTTTTTCTTTCTGGTCAAATTGAATAATAATAATTAAAAAAATACTTCTAATGAATAATAATAAAATTTTTTTAAAAAGGTGTACACTTTGGGACTATAGTTCTGGGTGGTGAAGGGGGACTGGGAGTTGGTGGAAGGGGTCCTTCGAGGGCGCCTCTATCTCCATACTGCAAAGACCTCAGGGAAGCACTTTGGCTTCTGGAGCCACCAGAACACCAAGGAGCTGAGGAGACCACTGTCTCCCAGAGGACCTTCTGGTCAAGCGGTGAGTGGCAGGTGAGGGAGCTACTGAAGTGCAGGTTCCTGACCTACAGCTCACATGGTCTAAATCCGGACCTCGAGGGCAGAGCCTGAGAATCCACATTTTCATACCTCCTGACCCCTAATCCAGGTGACTCCCACACCTCCATTTGAGAACTTCTAGGTCAACATTCTGCATGTCTGAAAGGTCAGTCATCTCTTTTAAATTCACTCTCATAAATGTGAGACCAGTGTTTCACACCTTTGCAAGCCCCCAGGAGAACTGGATGGTGACCAGTGACCAGTTAGCACAAGCCGGGCCTCAGGAACACAGCCTGACAGGAGAGTTGGAAGGGAGCTGCAGTTACTGAGCCTCTCATGAGCTCCATGCCGGATAGTTTAAGCTTGCCCATGCTATGGTCTGAATATCTGTGTCCCCCGAAACTCATGCTGGAATTTAATTCCCAAGGTGATGGTGTTAAGAGGCGGGGCCTTGAAGAGGTTAGTGTCCTGAGGAAGCCCCAGCCTCTTCAGCCATGTGAGGACAGAGCGAGAAGGTATCATCTAGGAAGAATGGGCCCTGACCAGACACCGGATCTACTGATGCCTTGATCTGGACTCCCCAGCTCCTGTTGTTTATAAATTACCCAACCTGGGACCTGTAGATGGTGTAATGGTCATATCACTAGGCTCCCAAAGAGTCAATTGTGGTTTGAGTCCTGGACCCGCCGGCTTGAAGCTCATGCCAGGCACATGCGCTTGTGTGCTCAAAGCCCCAGGAGGAGAGTAGAGGAGAGGGGGACTGCTGCATGGCCATCTCCCCTGGGGTTAATTTCTCACTTCCTGTCTCTCTGGTGAACGCACAGTACTTATAGCAAACATCTCTTTTTTTAAAAAAAATTATCCAATTTAAGATACTTTGTTATAGTAGCGAGAATGGACTAAGATACACCTGTGCCCTGCAGCTGTAGGCCAGGAGTGCGAATTCCACGATACCACTGGCAAAGATCACCATGTCCACGGAATCTCTAGAGTGGAGTAGACAGCAGTCCTGCAGGTAAGTACTCCATTTTACAGAAGAGGAAACTGAGACTCAGCGAGACACGGCACCCGAGACGGAATCCAGGCTCCTCTGACTTTCCATCAAACCCCACAGGCCAAAGAATCATCTCCAAACTCTCTGCCCCAAAAGTGCAGGTGACTGAATTGGCCCTTCACCTTATGCATCACCTCCGCGGGCCTGGTTGTGCAGACCCCAGAACAGTAGGCAGTCGCTTGAACTTTTAATGAATATTTATACAGTTAATTGCATAACCTTTCAGCAAGGACAATGATGAAACAATCCGTCTGCTTCCTTTCTTTATAATTAATAAGACATTTGCTGTGTCCTTAAATAGACAGCTCTAATTACAGGCTCTTGAGGATTTAGCAGTGCCTGATACCAGCGCCCCCTCCCCCACACAGCCTTGGCTCTTGGCATCCAGGCCATGAGAGGTCACAGAGGTCATTTGATAAGCATCCCAAGGAGCGGCAGGAGACTGAGGCCTAGAGAAGGGAATGGACCTGCCTAGGGTCACATGGATGAATGCCAGGTGTCCCCACTGCCTGTCTCTCCTGGAACATCATTGTCGCTTGTGATGTAACTCTCCCCGAAAACTGGGACTTGAACCTGGCTCTCTAGGCTCCTAGGTCAGGCCTCCCCACTGCATAGCCTGGGGAAGTTGGTCTGGGTAAGTGCTGACATGGTAGTATTTCCCCAGGTGGCTCCTATTTTTACCTCTGTCTTATGAAGGAAGAAAGCCAGAGGGTAAGTTGTTTGTTAGTCTCGTGAGAGAGGGGCCAAGTTGGCTTTCTCCCTGGGGTCCAAACGCACTGCTTGTTACCACACTGAACCACTGCCCATGAGAAAATGGACCACCTCTGGGCTGGAGTGGGATTACTGAGGGATGGGGCCCACTAAGCTTCTGCTCAGACGGGTTCTGCAAGATGGCCGTCCGATGTCCTCTTTCAGGGTAACTGAGGCCCGAGGCCCCAGGCCCCAGGAGCAAGACCATGGGTTGTAGTCAGATAAACCTGGATATAGAGTTCATTGACCAACGTGAGGTCTTCAGGTAAGTCATTCAATCTCTCTGTACCTTGGTGCCCCTCATCAGAAAATGGGGTCGAATCGTCTCCTCAAGTTGGTGGATGGTTTAAATGAGGAAACATGGAAACCCCTACGCTCAGATCCTGAAACAAACTCGGAGAAGACAGTTGTGTTTGTTTTAGTTCATGAAATGGAAATGGCTGGTGGAGGGGCCTGGTTTCCCCTCTGGGGATGTACACCAGGCCACGTGGCCTACCACAAGCAACACAGCCTCGTGCTCTGGGACAGAGCCCTGAGGGGTGCCTTTGGCTTGCTGTCTGAGGACCCCAGGTTCTGAGGGGCAGGCTGAGGAGCACCACTGTTTCTCCGACACGGGAAC